CTGAGGGCTCAACCCAGAGCACAGCCTGGCTCCTCTGCCCTCTCCCACTCCTGTCATCTCCTGCTCTTGCAGAACAAGCCTGGGGGACACAGCCAGGCAGAGCATATGGCATTACATTGCTGCACAGCATAAAACAAACACAGGGGAAGAAAAAGATCCAGCACTGCAGACTTATTGAATTAAACATTATTGTGGCTAACGCAATCAATAAAGCATTGATTGCATTATCCATATTAATATTTAATTCAATTAAAAGGCCCACATTTTTTTTAAATGTTCCTTCAGATCCTTTATGCTGCAGAATTAAATTTTGCTAGACCGTGAATTCCAGATAGACCCAAACTATAGATGATTTGGGTTTTCCCTGGCACCAGCTGTTCAAAACTGACCCTTCCAGTAGAGCAGCAGAAAACCACTTCCCTGGCCAGGCTGTGCCTGGCACCCAGGACAAACCCTGCACAGAGATTGGCACCCCCCTCAGGGGAACGTGGAGTGCACAGGTGGGTATGACAATTGGACACCTCAGTTCAGAGGCCTTCCTGTCCAAACTGAGACCCCAGAAGGGGCAGCCTCACACCTGCTCCCCCCACCAAATATTTTGGCTCTTCTGAGAATCAGTAGTTCGCTAAACTAGCAGGAAATTATCCCAGCCCCACGTGAGCTGAAGAAATAAGTAACTTTTTATCAGTTCAGCAAGCTGAGCAGGACAGGCAGCTTTGCTGCTGCTTCACCCTCCATTTTCTAACAGCTGTTTTAACCCTGTCACTGCATGGGCACAGCCCCAGGCTGAGCTCAGGCCTGGGGAGAGGCTGCTGTGCTTTACAGATGTGCCCTTGGGGGGAACCTCTGCTGCTGGAGCACAGTTGACATCCAGGGCAGGTGTTGACAGGCAGCCACCAGTGGTGCTGCACAGGGAACTCCTCCCAGCTGCAGTACCCACTGGAGCAGGACATCCCAACCCCTGCTGGAAAACAAACCCCAGGGATCAGCCAGCCCAGTGCCTGTCACTGCCCCAACACCTCGGAACAGGGAGTGACAGCAGGGCCTCCAACACATAGTGGGAGCTGATGGCTCTCTGCTACTTCATCAGACCAGGCCTCCTGCCAGCAGTTAAATTGAAGCACACAAAAATGCATCTTCTCCACAGGAAAAAAAAAAAATAAATAAAGGTGGGAAACTTCCTCCCCTTCTCTCCTCTGATTACACACAAAATGTTCTTCTGCTTTTAACGGCAATTTAACACTAGTTAAACTACCATTAATTTAAATCAAACAAGTCTGGAAAGATAGAACATGCTGCACTGTTATTAAAAACAGCTGAATCTTCATTTGTTCCATCCAGACACTGCTGCCCATTTCCAAGCCAATACTATCTGGCTGTCCAAGGACCTCTTGCTGTAGTTTTTGAGCTGGTATTTAAGCCTGCTTTGTTGGCTTTTGCAACACAATGCAGCCCACTTAGTTATCAGAGAGAGACATTCAAACCTTCCCATCAAACTGCTTTTTCTTGCACAGTGTGAGGGAAAGGCAAAAATCAGGACACGGGGCCAAACTGACTATTAGCAATCAATGTGACATCACATCCCCCCCATTTCCAGGTGATCCTCCAGCACTGAAGTACAAAATAGCTCGAGCAGGAAAAAAGAAAAGCTTTGTTCTGCTGTTTCATGGACCTGTCCTCAGCAAGATGCCAAGATGCTGCTACCCAGCCTTTGCTGGCAGTGCAGCTGATCCACAGGACAGGCCAGAACAGCTCCTGCCCAGCAGCTCTGTCGGCACTGCAGGGCTGGCAGCTGTAAATGGACTTTCCCCCTCTCCCACCCTGGCAGCAAAGCCAGCCCACAGGAACTGGAAGCAGCACAGCAAGCTCAGGCGGGGGGACCAGATGATCCCTGTGTTTACACATTTTCCCCAAATAACCCACACCAGTGTGTAGCTTTACAACAGGCTGTGGCTTTCATGCAGACAGCTTTGTCCTGAGCAGAATGTTTGCAGGAGCTTCATCAGCCAAAATGCGGATCTGCTGGAAGACTGCAGCACAAAATAACTGCTCCAGAGCAAGTCTGGTCCTAAACAAGATGTGAACTAGGCACGGAATACAAACAGCTTCAATCCCTTGTCTAGTGTCCCAGATGAACTAATTCATTATGAGGAACAGGTAATGTTCAAGGGAAGATGCCTGAAAATCATTAGCCTGAGGAAAGGATTCTCCCCTGTGAGGGTGGGGAGGCCCTGGCACAGGTTGCCCAGAGAAGCTGTGGCTGCCCCATCCCTGGAAGTGTCCAAGGCCAGGTTGGACAGTGCTTGGGGCAGCCTGGTCTAGGGGAAGGTGTTCCTGTCCACAGGGGCTGCAACAAGATGAATTCCCTTCCAGCCCAAACCCTTCAGTGATTCACAGTATTTTTGATCAATAAAAATACCTACAATCCAGAATGCAAGTCTTCTAGTTCTCTCTCTTCCCATGAGGTAATGATCACTAGATGATCTTTAAGGTCCCTTCCAACCCAAACCATTCTATGTTTCTACAAGATGCCCCAATCATCAGTGCACATCAAGTACAAGCAGTCTAGCAGTAGAATGCTAATATAAATTCATGTTACAGCTAAGGTTCCTTATTAACCTTTAACAGATTGTCTTTGATAAACTCATCCACTCCCTGCCTCAGACTATGCCAGGCTACTGTGGCCATCAGTGCCTCAAGTCTCTCACACTGCCTGAAATACCTCGTTATTCTGAGCTTGCCTCCTACTACCTTCCTTTAATGCACCCTTGGTTTGGGGCCAGAAGAGACAGAAATGATCCACACGCCTCATGATTTTATAACCTTGCTTTCACAGGAGCCAAAATCCATGCAATGGATTAAGAGACTTGATCTATATCCTTACTGTAAGCCCTTTTTAGACAGGGTGCCATCCCTCTGCTTCCAACAATTACCAGGAGCAAATGAAGCAGGGTCTGTGTCACTGACCTCTAACTTTTGTGTACTTGCACATTGCTTCAGTGATGACTGGCACATGCTGTAACTCTGGCATCAAACCTACTGTGAGGCTCTTCAAGTCTACATCTACATAAAGTGATCACACTCTGAATCCCTGCAGAGACCTGAAGGAGGTGGGCCTGAGTTAATCTTGGCTAAGGATCTCCCCTCAGGATGATATGGAGGGATTCTTAATGTGATTTGATAGAAACTCTGCTTGATAACATAACTTGATTCAAAGGAACATTGAAGAGGTTCAGAGCGGGGCTTAAAAAAAAAAAAACAACCGTTAATGGCAATTTTCTAACAGAGTTTCTTTTCATCTGCCAAGGAAAAATGGCTCTTAAAATCTGTAAATGTGCTACCTCTCTCCTTTAGGACATGGAAAAGGATTACTGATGGGCCAAATTTCTTCCTGGTACAGAGCAGAAAAGCTCCATTCTTCAGAATTTTGCAGAGATTCACTGCTACTTTTGCAAAGCACACTGCATTAGGGATACTGATGTGCCATGAAATGCCAAGTTCAAACTTGCTGCAATTGTTAAAACAAACGAGCAAACCCACGTGGTATCAACTCGGCCCATCATTCCCTGCCACTGTTTATCTGCTCGAAAACCTCACACCACACTTACCCCGTGGGCTGCTCCAGGTGTTAATGAGCCCTGCAGCCAGTGAAGGGCCACGGCTCAGGCTGGCATAAGAGATACACCAAGACACTCCAGCTGCTCAAGGTGGAAACTGTACCTGACCTACCTGGGGAGTACTAAGAGTTGTACAGAGCGTACCGAGAACTGGCACAGGATCTCCAGGGACAATGGTTACAGAACACAGCTCACTTCATCTGCAAAAGCAGCTCTTCAGTGTGATAAGTGATCTTCACAGCTGTCCAAGCTCACAGAAAATATTTACCTGTTGAGATATGTATGGGACATGTACTTATTCTGCAGCCAAGCTCGTGCAATAAGATACTCCAAACTTACTGCACACAAAAAGTTTCATTATCAGGAGCAATACAAATGCAAACACAAAAAACTTGGGTTTATCCCACAACTATCATTGTATATTATTACAAGCCACCATTTTTCAATTATGAATTCACAAAAGATACAAGACATTAGGTGAGAGAACAGAGTGAGGGCTGAAGATTCTGACAATAACTTATGACCAATTACATGAAATATTGTAACAAATACGAAAGAATCAAATATTGCTCCAGCATAGCCAGCTCCTTATGTGCCAAGTGAGACATGATTCTTTTGTGATCAATAAAGTTTTTTCCTCAAAGTAACCATGGTAGTTACCATCCATACTTACAGGAATATTTATTATAATAATTTAATACGGAACCCAACGCTTCAAAACCTTAGGAAAATAGAATCAAATTCAAGTTAGACATTATACAATCATGAACGAGGACAGCAGTGAGAAAAGCATTTATCTTCCTGCAAATAAGGAAATTCTAGACCAAGGTTTTTAAATATAGTGCTTTCAAAATTGTCTGCTTCCAGATGAATTCAAGCCATTTGTTCAACTCTGATTTCTACAAGACTTATCCCACGCCAAGAACTTCCATCAAAATTCAGTTGTAAGAAGTTGTACTAAACATCACATGTCACCCTGACACGAGATGTCTACACAGGTTCAATTGAATAGAGTCCTCTTTTTAAAAAAATACAAATTCTGGCCTGGGGAATCTTGACACATACAGTAGGTCCTTGTCAATGGATATCAAACACAACATAAATGGGGTCTGTCGCCTAGAAATCAGAAAAGCAAAGAGGCTTCATTTTGCAAAATCTTAGTTACAAAATGTCAGTGATTACTCATTAAGCATTTATTAAGCTCCACGCAAATATAAGGCACGCTAACTAAGGCGAGGCACATTTTTCAGTTCTCTCCTCCACTGTACGTTCATTTATCCCAGCACATCAGCAATCTGAGTAACTCACTCAAATGCCCACAGCTCTCCTGAATCCACACCACCAGTTTACCAGGCCGAGACACCCCCCCCATTCCAAAGCCTCTCTCAGGGACGCTCATGTGACGGGCAGGAGCTGGAAGGCCATCACGCAGTCAATCAGCCAGCTGGAGGGGGCCATCCACACCTTGCCCTGCCGCACCTTCTCCGGTTTGAACTTGGAGGCCGCGTCGTAGATGACATACTGGGTGCAGAAGCGCTGGTCGGAGCGGGGCTCGGCGTGGAACGACACCGTGTTCACCGCCTGCGTCACGTCGCTGTCCGGCTTGGGCTGCCGCACCAGGACCTGCCCGCCCGCCGCTCTCACCAGCTCCGCCAGATCGCCCTTCGGGTGGCGTTTGAAAGAGCCCAGGAAATAGAAGTAGCATCCGTCAAACAACTTAGGGAGCTGAGGAAGGGGATGAAAAAAAAAAAAAAAAAAAAAAAAAGTATAAATACACAACTTTGCAACTCAGCGGAGAGGAAAAAAGGGGATTATGAAAAATCAGTGCGTTAAAAAAAAAAATCAATTATTTAAAACAACCAACGCTGGAAACTGGAGCATTAACTTAACATGCAAGGTTCTCGGTGTAAGAATGCAATCAAGAAAAGCCTGCTTACGTGGTAAATTCTTGGTTCTGTTTACTTTCCAGCACAACTGTGAGTTAGGAATATTTACAGCTACTGTTACAATGCAGTTAATGAATCCTCCTGTGTAATCCAGCAAGTAACCAGAAATGAACCCACTTAAATACAGAAGTGGCCCTAAATGGAAACAAATAGTAATAAAAACATTTTTCTTTCAATTTCCAGAACTAGGTTCTAAAGTTGAGCAGAGAAGGCCAGAGCAGCATCGCTCCCTGTCCCATCAGCTTCTTCCACGAGCGTAATACAGGGTTCCCCTGCCAAGGTTACAGCAACATCTCCCCTAACACAGAAAAACTGACAGCTTTATGGGTGTTCAGCTCTTTGGATCACCTTGCACTTAATCAAATTTCTGTACAAGACCACATTAAAATTTTACATCTTCTGCACTTCCGCGTGTGGCAAAGGGCAGAACTGCACGAAGCAAAGGTCATTAATACGGGCTGGCTGCAGCAATAAAACCCACCAGCTGCTCTCTGTTGAGCCGCCCTCTTTGGGGGCCACCTTGGATTTCGTACTTCTCTTCTTGCTCTCGAGCTGAGGTTCGCAGGCAGGCTTGGACCCCTACCAAAAAAAAAAAAAAAAACAAACAGTAAAGAAGACAAAAATTAAGAGAGCTCAGGTTTTAAGGGAGGCCTGCACGTCATTTTAGGGACTAAGGAGTTGTGCTAACACAAAATAATCACCCGCAGTGCAACACATTCCATCCACATAAGCATCAAAGCCTGTGTGCTTTAGCAATTTGCTTTTAAACTCGGAAAAATTTACAACAGCGGCTGAAGATGCAAGTGAGATGGAGAGAGGCAATATCACACTAAAATCAGTGCTATAAACACTAGGAATTATTAGCTCTTCCTCTTACCCACTAAAGGTCAACCACTTAATGTCAAATGTCAAATTGCTGATCATTTGGAAGCTTGAAGGCAGCGTGTAGGACCCGGGGCTGCAGTTACGGAATGGAAGCAATTGTCTGATAAAGACCAATTACAAAGGCAGCACAAAGCTGCCTCAAATAACAAATCAGATGGGATTTCAAGGTCTCCAAGATCAGCACGAACCGGAGATTTATGCTGGGGTTTAACAGTGGCATTCATTCCTGTTACCACTGCTGCATAATGAGATTGTCTTTTAGAGTCAACATGTTTTTACCTTGTTTTAAAGCCAGTTATTTTTTCCCATAATGGGCTGATGTTAATGTATCTCTAACGCCCCTTAAACGCACTGCCTGACCTCACTCCGGAGGCAGCAATTGCAGTGGTCACCCACTCAAGGGTGGAACATTTTGCCTGAATGTACATTGCACCATTAATAAAAATTACCCGACAAAAAGTTTGCAAAGCTGATTTTGGAAATGGTTCCGTGAGGATTTACACAGCATTTCTAATTCAGGCAACTTATCTGCACGGGGCAAACATGAAACCCACGGTACCTAAAAAATACAAACTGAACAAAATCAGAAGTGAAGTGTTGGGGGTTGATCCTGAAAAGGAAGAAAGCCCAAGGCTATGAGAGAAGTCTCACTGCCAGAGGTACTTGGATGCCATAAGAGGCCAACAGACACGAATATCTAATCCAGAGAGATCTTGAAAGGAAACTCTGAGTAATTTGCTGTCAGTTCATACCAACTCACACTGCAGCAGAAATCCTCCAATGTACTTGCACTAAAAAACAAAAACCCATACAGGAAACCACAACTGGCTGAATCCTACAGCAAGTACCTCCCTCTGTGTACAATATCAGATTGATTATTTGCACTTGTTCATTCCTTCAAGGAAAATTACCATGAACTAGAAGGGCAAACCTAGGCATGTATTTTCTGGAAAGGCAACTTCCATATTCATTATTGATAACAGCAATGAATACTGATAACTTAATTTCAAGTAGTCGTAACTCAAAAATAAATCTAAAAGCTATTTCACATTTTATTTATTTATTTTAAATCACCACAATTCAATGAGACTTCCTCTGTCAGTGTGCCTCTAACTTACACTGTTATTCTTTCCTTCCAAGAAAATACAGGTATTAATGGGTGCCAGTTACAATAAAGGAAAAAGAGTCTCATCTGGTCTTCAGAACAGAACTGTCCATTCATTAAGAACATGTTTTACTTCAATCTGCCATCAAAAGCTCGATTTCAAGGACTTTCACTACAGGGATGAGGTTTTTATACAATAAGCACATCACAAATTGAGCATCCAGTGCCAGCATCAGTAAATGAAGCAAATGCGATACAAAAGCAATAAAAGACTGAACGAATACAAAGGACTACAATGCCTTTTTGTACTGCTACTTGCCTGAAAGAAAATAAATAGTCAGGGAATTGACTAGTGCTAGTGGAATATCTGTGTTAGAGAATGCAAAACCAGTGATATCTGTTTTGCACACTCGTGCCCGCCCACTTCACACTGCCAGGCCCTCCAAGGAATCTGAATCCTCAAAGTTCCCTGTCACATGTCATGACGATCCTCCAAGAGAGCAAGAAAGACTCATCTACATATTCCAGATGGGATAAAAAGCCAGGATCATAAGTTTTCAATGCCCAGATGTGTTTTCCTTTACCATAAATGTTAAGAGGCAACGCTGCTAGGCGTACACACCCACCTCTTTGTGCAGCAACAGACTCCAGATGTTCTTTTGGGGATGGAAATCTTCAATTACTGAACATATATTTCATGCAAGAAGCAGAACTTGCTCTGACCCAAGGATCCTGTCACATTTGATAGGTAAGAACAGCTGCCTTCTGGAACTGTTGTGATCAGAGGCCTTTCAAGCCACCTCCTCTAACACTGTCTACACACAGGTGAGAAAAGAGTAAGGGAAGTCACTGGAATCCTCAAGCTCAGAAGAGCTGATGTTTCAGGTGCAGTAGCAGCCAGTGTCTGAGGAAGGTGCTTACCCCAGTGAAGCAATATCTATGCATGGAGGAGGGATTCCTTACTAGAAGAAGAAAAGCAAAATGATTTCAGTGATAGAGACCAGCACATGTCCTTTAACTGCAAATGCTGCCCAGATTGATTTCTTACCAAGTGGCTCATTTCTCTTCAGGGACTCCTGCATAGCACAGATTTTGTGTTAAAGAATTAAAGGAGTCAAATATTTCAAGAAAAAAAAAAAAGAAATGAAAGGGAAATATGCCCCTGTTCTCATATTTGAGATAAAATTACATAGGGCTCAAGCTGTGTTTCTACCTAATTCATTATGCATTTGTCTAAACAAAAGGTTCTTATTTTCCTGGTCTTTTCCCCCCTTTCCACACAAAATTTGTCAAAGTCACTTGCTTCTAAGTCACTAATTCTGCATTACCATTTTCAGATGCAGTGACTCCAACTGGATGGAAGAGCCCAAGTGAGGTTCTCAGAGAGGTCAGCTTTGGTAGTGTTGTGGTGTCATTTGGAAGCACCAGCTTTATCGTTCTTCCAAGAGATGGCACAGCCACCACAAGGTGATCTTGTGCTAACAACAATAACATCTCAATTTCACACCAAGGAGCAGGGATACGAACAGGAGATTAGAGCATGCTGCAGGCCATTCCAACATTTATTTTTCTTTACAGTTAGGGATTTTATTTTCTGTGGAAACTGAGTGCTAAGCGGAGTCCATTCGGTATAGCCCAGGTCTTTGAGTGGGCATTATTAATTTTAAAGCTGCTAACGTGTATAAGTGGTTGGATAACATGACAGTTCCCTTTTAATAGTCTCTTCATTCGACTGAGTGTCATCCTGATTAAAGGGATATATAAAAGGAAATAAAATTCTATGCTTTACTCACAGCTGTATCATTCTGTTACCTTTACAGGGACGTTTCCAGAAGCTCTTTTGACCTTCCATACAAAGTACAGAGACCTTTGACTTCAAACAGGAGCCATGTTCAGCTGATTCCCAAAACTCCAGAGATTAGACTCTCATTTGTTCAGCACTGTTCAGCACAGCCTTTGAAAAGCCACCAGTGAGAACCCGATACCAAGACACTGCTCAAATGAATGGTATGAAAAAAAGAGAATTGCTAGCATCCCAATTAAAAAGTGGTCAGGACACCATCAATACTGTGCCACCTCCCTTCTGAAACTGAGATGGACATTTAAGCACTTAGGCAAAAAAATTTTTCAGAACAGGACTGAACCTTGGAAGGACAAGGGCAGCCCTAAAGACGGTCTCTGAAAATGGAGGGGAACACAAACTTACGTTGGAGAAGACACCTGTAATTTTAGGAGGGGGTAGAGACCACAGTTCTGTTGTTTTCCTCCACAGATTTACAGTCTGTGCATTCTTTACTGGCAAGCCTGACTAAAAAGCTAGCTTGTTCTGTTACAAAATAAAGTAAGACCAACTTGCCCGGGGTCTCAGCCAATTCTGATTTATTCCTCGATACTACTGGCAGTAAGAGCTGTGGACTTTCTAAGTTTGAGGTTGATCAAGTTTTTAAATTTACCACGCTCCCTTCCCTAAAGAAAAGAGGGCGATTATTGCAACTATGCGTTTATGGCCCTGTAGTTTAATCAGTAGTTGGGGCAATCACCCGCTAAAAGGCAAGACTTGTATCCAGGCAAGTGGCATTTCCAACAGGAGCAGGGCTGTGTGCAGTGCCCAGCTCCAGTGTGCAAGCACTCATGGATGAAGCTTGCCTGACAGAAGGTCAGTCTGGGGCAAGATCACATGTGCTGAGGGGTCACACAGAGTTCTTCCCCAGAAATACAGAGCATCACAAGTTTAAAAGCCTCTTAAATAGCTGATTTCACGCTTGCAATCTGTGGAGATAAACAAAAATCCTAGCAAAAAAACAAGCCTTCCTTAAAACCCCTAAAAAACACTGCAGGAAGAGGCTGCAGCTCAATCCGTCCGTGTTCAGCTTGATGCCACCACACCTGGCAAGGAGAGCACTGCTCATTTTTTATCCCCTCATTAGGAAGATCAGTAAAGCATCACTGCTTACATTGATCCTTATTACCTCACTGAGCAGCTGCCCCCACCTCCTCACCTCTGAGTATCTCAGGAGCAAGCAGGTTAACAGGGTGTCCACTCTAATGGTATCATTAATTGACCTTTGATAGAACTATAGCCACTGGTACTAGAAATAAAAGAAATCATTATTTGCAAAATTTAAGATCAGAGCCCTGTAATCCGTGTTCATGTAAGTCTTATTGGTTTATAATGAAACTAACTGCATCAGCAAAAACAATTTAAAGAGAATGAAGTACAAAAAAACCTGGTTGCCAAGAAGAAGTTGTAATCACCCACAGATACCCAGGGGTAGCTCTCAGTAACTCAATTAGCCTTAGTGGAGTTTCGCTGGATTTGCATTAATAAAGCAAAGAGCAGAGGTTAGTCCCAAAAATCTCTTAGAAAGCTAAAAGTAATTTAGGAATACATGACAGCAACAAAGCAGATAAAATACTACACATCCAAGATCTAGTAGAGGCTGCAACTGGAACATCCTTAGCTCAGTCTGCACTGGGTTTGAAATCTTACATGCAGATTGAGGAAAACTTGGTGGGATTTTTTTTCCTAGAAAAGGAAGAATTCTGGACTGAGAGAAAGCCTTAGGGGAATTTGGCATGACTAGCTTCAATTTGCTTTCATAAACAGCATTACTGGTCTCTGCTAGAGCACAGAAAAGAATGTTTATATTGTCTCTTCTATGCCTATAAAGTAACTTTAGGCTCACAGATTTTCATGGAGGTACAGAACTCATTGGTGAAACAAGAGCAGTCTGTTTTCTCATCACATGGAAATGACAGGATGCTGCAGAGACTGAAGTGAATCTGTTAAAGAGTAGTAGTTAACAAGTTACTCCAGATGATATTTATTAAACCTGATGGAGCAGATGCTTAGGGAGTCCTGAAACATCAATTCCCAGAAGCTAGGAGCATGTGATATGAAAATCATTCCCTCACTCGAAGCCCCGGGTGTCCCACCTTCTTTGGAGAAAACACTATTTGCCATAGCTGTCTTCTGGGCTGATCAAAGTGACTGGAGGTAGCCATTCCTAAGGTCAGGGTAAATTCCACATGGAATGCTCATCCTCTGGATCTCATCACATGCTTTTAAATGAACGAGCTAATACTTTCCATCCTCTTCCTTACGACGTGCTCCCTAAACGTAATCTTTTCTTCCAAACAAAAGTGAACTAGAACAAAGACTCTCCAAATATGAAAAGCTGAGTATCTGGATGACACAGAACAGAAGGAGCAGTGGAAACACGGTTTCCTTTTCCTCTAGACCTTATTTCCAACCAGCCCACTTCCCAGCTCTGCAGACAAAGGCAGACACCACATTTAAGACATTCTCACTCCCATTTTCTCTTCTGCAAACTCCAGCAGTTCCAAGTCTAAATCTGTGATGAATTGGAAACACAACTGTTTACCTCCTCCTTCCCAGAAGGTGCAGACACTGTGGGAGAGCAGAAGTTCAGACCCTGCTGGTGTGAAATTTTCCCCCTCAGCTGCACACCAGTACAACCAGAACCTGATCTGCACTTTAGAGAGTTCTACTGTCTGTCAGAGCTGGGAGTCTCTTTGTAGAGGTAGCTGTCTCTGAGGGCAAAAGAGGCATGAAACTCAAGTGATCAAGAGTTTTGAGCTGTTTTAAGGAGGCAGGGCTTTGCTGAGGATCAGCCTGTTGTCTAAAGGATGATTATGCATGGAAGGGAGACAGTCAGGCCCGAGAAGGAGCCGGCTCAGACAGCTTTGCACTTCAGCCTAAACAAGGGTGGGCATATTGCTCCAAGGAATTCAGAAAGATGTTTTCACCTTGAAATGTCAGTCATGCAGTCCCTCAGCCCTTCCAGCCAACTCCCTGTTGTTCCGAGTCCTTACAGGAAAAGCAGGGTTTTTTTGCATTCTTATAATGATCAGAGCTGAATCATTGCTGCTGCTCCAGGTAAGCAGAGCAGAGGAAGGAATGAGCAATCAGATGCTTAGAATTCTGCCAGACACTTGGCTGCAAAGACTGACACGAGCTTGTTTCAATGCATATCGTTACTGAGATCATTTTTCATTCCCCGCTTTAACAGATGACAATAAGTTTAAGGAAAAAACAAGCCGAAAAGCTATTAAGGACTTCTGCTGGTTTTAATTACACTCTTCTGCGTTCTCCATAAAGCACAGAGGAAATACAGTGATACTTGAATCTTTGTCTCAGCCTACTTGCAGAAGGATAATGATATGCCACTTCGTGCCCTATTACCATCCCAGAAATAATGAAGGCAATAAAATAATGAAACCAGTGAAAGATATGGCCAAGGGCAAGGAGCACAGTGACAACGCTGTCTCAGTTGAATTCTGTGCTGCTTGGAAGTGGATCTACTGCTGACAGTGTATTAGATATGGAAAAGATGGAACTGCAACTGGAAAGGGGAAGTTTTTCTTCTGTGAAGATCCAATATTGTTCAGTGGTGACATCCTTTCATCCTAATCTTCCACCTGAAGACAAAAGGGAACCCCAAAGCTGAAGATATGTACTCAGATCCTGGCTCTTTAATGCTTAGAGGCCTTACAGTTGGCACACACCCTACTGGAAAATTCCCCATTACCTCTCTGCCAGCAGAAGTGGATGCTGTGGCTCTGTGCAGGGACACGTGTAAACAGGAGCACCAGAGAATCATTCGAGAAAAGGATGCTGCCTTTTACTGGAGGAACAGAGTTTAGCCTCCTCTAACAGAAGAGACTCTCAAATGAAATGCTGTTTTTGCAATACTGTTTTGTGATTTTCTTTTTTTTTTGTAGGAAGCGGTATAATGTATAGGCTATAAATAAAACTTCAGAAATCAAAGTCAAGTGCAGCTTACCTTGTGGTGAAAAAATTTCGAATACTCACTTGTGCATAGTCAGCACTTCATTAAGTGCCTCACAGAGCTTTGTTTTTTCAAATATTTTAGTGAAGTTTTTCACTTTAGAACAGTGAACCGTAACAGCTCCTTGAATGTATTACATAACCAGAATATGCACATACTTTTGCAAGTTTATTTGCATCACATTCGAGGAAACTTATCCAAACAGAAGTCAAAAAAAGCCACAATAAATTAGGAGAGAAATCACGGAAAAGAAAAGCAAAGACCTCTTTCTCCTAGACAAATGTTCCATCAGCAGGAGTCCCATTATTTGTTATAACAATCTTTAACTTGTAATGACTCCGAAGAAGACTGATAACAGACTGGTGGGAACAGATGGAGTGGTGCTGTTAATTATAGGCACTTAGCTGCATCAGACCCCATGAGTTATTACTAACATTCCCCACTAGGGAGGAGAATCACTCGCTTTTAAGTAGTATGTTGCTTACTAAGCTGGGAGCATTAGCAGTCAGGATTGTACTAATCAGTACTAACAACATCAAATAAAACTCAGCTGCGAACAAAAAAAACATAAAAATATTCCCTGAATAACCCTCAGACTACTTCACTTATTTTTTTTTTTCCTTTTCAAATCACTTCTAAGTGTAAAAGTTCTTCCACAAAGACTTGAATTAAGGTTTCACTAATTAAATCTTCCTCTAGCACTCAGATGTTTTCTAAGCATCTGACTAGCAAGCAGATAAACTGATATAAAGGAAAACCACTCTGGCATATATGATAGAATGTGTGCAGCCCTTCTGAACTGAGTGAAGCCGAGAACCTGCAAAGTGACTCTTGCAGAAAGCATCTAAAGGGACACTAATTCAACAGATCCTTGGGAAAAAAAAAAAAAAAAAAAAAAAAGCAGCATGGAACAAGCTATCTGGAAACCAAATGAACCCTGAGTCCAGTGTTCAAGCTGATGAAGTGCTCTGGTTCAAAGACCAGTCTGCAGCTTCTGAGGCTTTGCACAGTGCCTTCCTAAACATCAGTGGCTGGAAAACGTAGACCATTAAGGAGTCCTCGTATTCTGATGTTTAGTCACACAGTAGAAAACCGGAATGAAATTTGCCCGTGAGTTTCCCATGGATAATTAACTCATTTGTAGTGTACTTATTAGCTAAAGGGACTTAGCCATAAAGGTCAAGGGGAAGAAGATGGCTTTTGCAGCTACTGTGAGAGCAGATACTAAGAAATACATCAGACAGAAGGAATAAAAATCAGAATTGGGGCCTAAGTCCACAGAACAGCTGTACAAAAAAGCACGCACTGCATAAAAACTAGTTACAGATTGCATGAAAGATGACATCACAACGACTTGCAACTGGGGTTAGAAGTTAAAACTTTCAACAGATCTCAGCTTATATATAAATATAAGCTTTCTTCCAACCGCCCTTGAGCTGTACCCCAAACAAACCAAAGTTTCCTAGCAATTCTACTGGCAACTGCTGATAAGAAATCCTAGAATTCAATAAAATCCTCCCCCCTCTCCCAGGATATTTTCCATAATCTTCCAAATCCGTTTTAATACAGCAATAAGAAATTCCCTCCCCACTGATATTTAGGTCATGACCTACCCAACACATCTAACAGTGAAATGCACTCATTTAACAAGAAAGCAGTAGTTATATTAATTAAATTTCTTGTCATTCAGGAGATTAAAAATAAAACAAAACCCAACCCTCAAACTTTATATTATGGTAAGATTGACATCAGGGCAGCTGTTGAGAACAAAAATTTTCTGGAATCCCATCTAGAGTTTCTGGTTAATAACCCCAAAGAATCCCACATATTTTATACTTACATTCAAACTTGAGGACCCAACATCCACTCAGAACAGCCATCATGCATTTGACAGTACTTGGCATTGGAACATCAGGGATAACAAGATGAGTTACTAGGAGAAAGATTACATCAGTAGGACTAAAAGCACATAAAAATCAGAACCATGCCTGGCTGAAGAGCAATCAATCACCATTTAAAGAATAAACAGACTATAATAATTTATCAACCACTCTTTCCAGCACAAGTATGTGATTTTTGAGACTATGATCTGAGTTAGTAGAAGAGCTATTAGAAATTTTGTGGGTTTCAACATATACTGGCTGCGAAAAAGGGAAGTCATGGTTTTATAGTTCCAAGCTAACACTTAAATCTTCAGATGAGGCTCTGGTTTATAGGACAGTATTTTTCCTCAATCCTTTTAAAGTTATATTTAACTCTGACAGGAATCTCACTATGGGATCTCACTGCTTTAATGCAAAGCTAACAGAACTTAACTCAAAATTTTGGAGTAGTAATCTGAATGTGAAAGAGGGTAAGGGAAAATTGCCTTAGCATTTTGTCCACAAGCAGCATTCCAAAGTGAAAATCTAATAGGAGGGTCGAAGGCAATGTTCTTCTCCTCAAAGGGGGAGAAAAAAAACAAACCCCAAGCCCCATACCTGCCTTGGTAACCAGACAGGCTTTATGTGTGTTTACATGCAGTGATGTACCACAATCCAGGGATTTCAGAAGCTGCTCTTACCAGGAACAATAAGAAACCCCTGTTGCAGGTAGCATATTGAAGGATAAGGTGCTATCTGGACAGAGACACGAACATACCTCCACTGTTAAATTCAGTACATCTTCGAGCCTTCAGAACTGCTGCTAATTTGTTCAGCAACTTCTGCTGCTCTGCACTGAGACTGCTTCCCAGTAAACCAAGAGGGCCATTTCTAGGCTGGCTGGGGCTCAGTGCCTGCAGGAGAAAGAAAACGTTTGGGAACATAAAGCAACTAACTCACTAGACAGCTTTATTTCCAAAGAATAAGCATTTAGAAACACCACGGCAAGCTTAGTGAACAGGGTATTACCAACAGATACACTGCTGAGTAATCTATATAATTAATATCTGCAGTTCCTTCTAGTAAAAGTCCCTAATACTTTGCCCTGTAAGCAATGAATGCCTAAGTGTTGGGTTTGTTTTTTTTTTTAATGTGGATACTACTAATGCAAATAAGAGGAGCTGCTTGCTCCAGTTTTATGCTGACAAGGATGTGACACTTCAGCTCCTGAATTTTTATAAATACTCCCAGATTCCACGGGATGATACTGAGAAGCAGCCTTTTAAATGCACACAAAAAGCACCTGGAGCAAAAACTGCTGCTGCTTTCAGACAGTTTGGTAAGTAGAACAAATTTAAATATGCAGAAAAAAGAACATCAATAGCCAAGTCCAAGCAACAATACTTGAGGAATAACACAGCACTCGTTCTCCTGTAATAAATCCACATTACAAGAAATATCCTTTGTTTTGCCAGATAAAGCTGTAACACAGAATTTCATGGCTTGTATGTGTTCCACATGCATTCTAGAAATACTGTCCAGGTTAGTTTCCCAGTTTTAAAATCTCCCTGTAAAGCAGGTGATGTACTGTAATTATGCCCAAGCCTTCAATATTTACAGGTTAAACTTACAGGGTTTTTTTTGAAAAAGCAGAACAACAACAACAACAAAACCCCACACAGACATTTACCTCAGAGGGTTGATTAAGCGAAAGTGATTCATTCTTCACTGGTAACATTAGCACAGACTTCATCTTTTCACTTTCTGCATAGTCCACAGGCCGCAGACCAAATATATTACTGGCAAAACAAGCACAGATGGGTTTAAGTAAATAAAATGTGACTTGATTCTTAACTAACTGGGCACATTAGCTGGGTAGCTTTCCCTCCCACTTTCTTATTAATATGTAATTTCAGCTAAAAGCACAAAGCTTCAAGTAAGAATTGCATCCAAGACAGATGGATACTGAATTACAAGCTGTTGCATTCGGCTAAGGAGTAAGGGATGTTCAGAGCAGAACGTTCAGTTAAATAAACCACAGTCCTTGTTAAACTGTTTCAAGATGCAGTTTGATATCATTTGCAAGACCCAGAAATTTCAGCTTTAATCTTTCATTGCGGTCATATAACCAAGGAAGGTATTTTTGGCTTATCCATTTGCCATAAACGACATGTCAGAAGATTCCACGCCCTGTATTAAACATCAGAGTGGGATCTGGTTGTGCTTTTATGGGAAAAGCTCTCTGCTTCCTGACTGGGAATCGTGGCTCCCTCACCCTTCCAGGATTTGAGTGTGCATCTCATTTTCCCCCCAGTGGGCTGTTCCACAGAACACACTGCAGCCAATTCGTTCTGATTTTAGTGGGTGTGCCAATTTTGCTGGGAACTATTGATCGTGTGTGGCACCTCCCAGTTATTAGGTGTGTCTCAAGAGCCATTTCCCCTTGGAGCATTCCTCAGACAGACATGATTTGCTATAAACACCCCAAGCACAGCCATGACTTCTCTTCTTCTTCTTCTCCACTCAACTTTGCAGTTGCAGGACAGGAGAGGGGGCAGGGAAAGCTTGAAACTGCAGAACAGGTATAACTGCCATTAGCAAACAGGATCCTCTGCCAGCCCTCTGGGGAAATACTCTGCTTGCTTTGCCCTTTGTGGGAATAATGGCTATTCCAGCTGATCCTCTTCTCCCTACCTCACATAGCTCTGCTCTCAAAAGGCATAATAAGAGCTCGTTATGAAGGGGAAGCTTGTCACCGAGAACAAAGCCCTGACTCAGTGTCTGAAACCCGGCGAGCTTAGTCATCAGACAATGAAACATTTAAAGGGGTCAAAAAACCACTGCAGCTTTGAAGAGGCTGCTCTCAGCCACACAATCCTGTGCAGAGCTGAAATCTAGGAAGCAGTGCAGGGAATTCCACATAACCCAATGCAGCCCAAAGAGAAGCTCAAACCATTAAGTCTTCACCTTGACTTAAGTGGGGGGCTTTGGGCAGCACAGAGCTGACAGTCGTGTCCGACCTCAGCACCTTCCCGTGCTCCTGACAGCCCCCTTGGGAAAACAACAGTCCACCAGAATCCCCCACAGAAGGGTCCAGGATGGTATTTTACAATATTCCCAAGCCCAAGCTCTCCTGTGGCACTAATGAGCAGAGTTCAGGCATAATACCAGCTCTGCAGACTCAAAGATAATTGGTTAAATCTCTGCCCAGTCCTGGGAGTTGCAGCCCATTAAATATTGTCATGCTGTTCCTGCTTTGTCATGCATCATCAGGGTAGCTCTTGCCCTTTCCTTAAATAAGGGCCATATTCCACTCAAACTGCCGCAGGATAGAGTTCATTTGAACAGTGCATGCAGAGAGGAGGGGGGGAAATAGATATATCATCACATGCACTAAAAATCACCTTTAGACTAGATGGCTGACCTTCCACTGGGAACTACGAGGGAGGAAATCACTGCGTGTCAATAGGAGAGGTTTGGGAGGGTTTTTCCCTCCAAAGGCACAGCAAGATCCTTGACTGTTGGAAAAAAAACCTCAGGAATGTTTACCATAGATAAATATACAGGGCATCACGGTTAAGCACAGAACATTTTTTGTCAATTAAACTGTGCAATGAGAGCTCTGGCTCCTCCCTCTGTATTCAGATTTTTTTTTTCCTACACTTTTAAGGTCATTTCAGTTGCTTCTTACTGAATTTGCAGCAGTACTGTGAAATGCTATCCCATCGTTGTGCAGAAGAATTATTGGCTATTTTACAGGATGGTAAGGTGGCACAGCTAAATTGTGACAAATGTGAAAAAGGAACACCAGCACAAGGGATGATTTAAGGGTTTTGAATATTTGTAACAAAACAGATTGTTGAGCTTAAGGGAAGAGAGAAAATGTAGCTGAAACAGGGGAAAATAGGGTTTACAAAATAAAAACCAAGACGAGGAGCACATCCTAACAACAGACTTCAAGGAGGTTACTGTTGTGATTTACACTCAAAGGATGAAACTCATGTTTGCACTTTTCAGCTAGGCACCCACTCACCATCCAGAAAATCAGTGATCACCATGAGAAAGAGCTTGTGCCCAGCCTCTGGCACACCTACCAGGGCAGGAGCTTGAGGAACTGTTTTTAATATATGAGGAATTTATACTATTTTTAACCCTATGATCTATGCAAACCCAACACCAGCAGTAAGGCACAGGAGTGGGAAACAAACTTTTGACAAAAATGTGCTCACATCTGTCTTCGTGCAGCCCAGCTGAACAAGGGAAATGGTCCACCCTGTTCAGAGTAAAAAATGACTTTTGATCCACTTTGCAAAGCAAAATGAGACATGCCCATTAGGTCCACCCTAACGCACAGACAGTGTTCTTAGAAATATCAGTAAGCATGAGTGCTGCTACTACAGGTCTGGGCTTGTTGGGAATGGGCCCAGTGCACACGAGGAGTTCCACACTCAGAGGGAAGACACAATTGTTTCTTCAAGGGAGAAAAAATTGTCTGTGGTGCTTCAGCTGGAATACAAGGTCTCTAAGGCGAGATTCTCTCTACCAGAATGCAAGTGGGCTTTTTGAAAGTTGTTTTAAACATTCAAGAGTCAGCTGTACCCCTTTGATGCAAGCAGCCTCCTATTAGTCAGCCATCAAGGTACTGAGTAGTCAGTAGAGGGCTATCACAGCCAGAACAAATCCCAATCAAAGAGCAGGATGGCTGTGCCGAGAACAGAAATGAGCCCAGTGAAGAGCAACTCCACGTAATCTTCTGAGTGTGACTTTACACGCAGATGACAGATGATATCTTAAGGACTGACACATCAAAGAACTTCTTATAAAAAGCTTTAGAAATAGGATTCAGTTTATGGCACAACACTGCTGAAGTATTAGGTATGAAGACAACAGAGGTTACTGCTATAGCCAAAAAGAAACTTTACAGCTGCCTTCTAACTGTTTCATTAAACTTTCAGCAAAGAAGTCATCAGAGGAGAGAAGATAAATATGGAGACACGCCTGTTAATTGCTTCAAAGCACCGAACTTGCACAGCTTCTGATGTAAGCAAACAACAACTACATAATACTTTGTTATCAGGAGTTTTAAGCTGCTCCATTTTGATACCAGAAGTTACCTCTGGTTCCACAGCTGAGCACAAGACAAGTTTTACCCCAGCTCCCACAAAGGAGTTCAGTATTGAATGGAAGTCCAGTGAGAAGTAACCACTGACTCCCACATGGAAACTGGACTAGGGCAGGGCTCTCCAGGCAGCTCCTGGACTGGAGAACATGGTAAACAGAAACCTCTTTTGAACCTGACAGAAGGAAGAAAACTTAATCTGTGCAGCCAGAAAAACCGTACGAGATACCCAAACAGTGCCAGGGTTTTAATTAACCTGCTGTCAGCAGGAAGTTAAACATACTGTCTTGCACTGAGACAGCCAAGACCTGCACTATCTTGTCTCAGGAAAAGCAGACAAAATGATGTCAGTGTCACAGGCCTAATGCCTCCTGAACTAACTGCAGGTTAGAACGAGTATTGTCCCTATGCCATTCATTCCTAATTGAGGACCGTGGTCTATCCCTAAGCATTCCCAGAGGTTTGCTCAGAATCAGACTCACAGATACTCAAAGACAGCCAACACCTAAAGAAAATGGAGCATTGCCACAATTTTTTACTAATGCTGAACTTATTGTGCATGAAGAGCTGGAAAGGCAGCCCATTTGAGGGAGAGCATTTAGGAAGTGCTGTGAAATTGCAAATGCACAGATCTAATTTTTCAAATCACTTGGCTTGCCGTGAAGCAAGGAGAAAAGACAGAATTCAAGCACATTGAAAAAAGCCATAAAAATAAAAATTAGCTATGTGTGGGAGATTAACTTAAAAAAATTAACAAGACCAGTAGGACAATTAATAGGTCCAGTGGTCCATATAATATTTTTCATTTGTAGTTCATATCTTTCCCAGTCAGTGAAAACTTCAATGGCAAATGGTATGCCACAACTATTAAATCTTACGAGATTTCAAAAGAAATATTTTTTGCCAAGGAATACGGAAATCCCAGGATTGCTTTCTGGCAGAAAAGGAAGCCCTCATCTGTACCTGCTTGGTCCAAAAGGTGTGTGGTTGCTTCACATTACATACAGTTGGTTCTTAATGCACTGTGTGCCAACGTGCAAGGAGAAAAACAGCCTGAAAGGTGCTTGGAATGAGATGTGCCTGATGGGTCTGTGAACCCGATGATCCAAATCTGAAACTGCAGAGTCTCAGCTCCCTGGAGAGGGGTTATAGCTGTGCACATCACCAGTTAAGGTCCCTTAGGAGGCAGCTGTATTTGCTTCCAGATATATCCTACATCCCTGCACAGACCAGCGGGTCCTACCTGCCTCTGGGCCTGCAGTCAGTAAATACTGCACATCTTTAAAAACGTATTTCCTCTGGCACGGTTCAGCCTCATTCTAAATTTCAGAACTACTGCTCTAAGCAGGCTATTCAACACAAGCTCTGTTTTTATTCCAGTAGATTAACTCTCCAACACACGAGGGACATTAAGACACAAAACTGAGTTAATTCTACTGTCAAAACAGCAGCAAGGCATCAGTCACTTTTGCGAGGTTTCACGCCATATATTTCATAGTGTCCCCAGTAACGTTTGAACACATTTATCATGGTCACATTTTACTGAGCTTTGCTAAAGGAAAACACTTTTAAGCAACCAGAGTGAACTAATCAAACTCTCCTCCCTGCTCTCCTGTGAGGTAATGAAGAAACACTTTATCCCATCATATTAAGGAAGGCCCTTTCTCCTGTTCATTGAGAGCCTAAAGAGCCCCCACAAAAGAACTATTAAGAGTTTCATACTCTGAAAAAAAAAATAAGAAAAAAGCAGACTAAAATTAGATAAATTTATTGATCTGGCAAAATTGGCTTGGCATAGTCTTAGCTCATGCACTGCACACCTCTAAAATTAAGGGACTCTTCTGGTATGCTTCTCAAGTAAATAAACCCTTGAGAAGAGATGCAAGTTCTACTCATTACTCCTCAGTTCCTACTGTAAGGATCCTAAAATAACAATGGGAAAGTGAGCAGATCCTGCATTAGGTACAAAGAGGCCAACTATAACTAGTCATAATGAAAAGAACTATAATTGCACCATCTTGAGTGCTCAGCCTGTTTTTGCCTCCTGTTATTAAAAAACTGGTCTGCAGGTTTCAGGGATCCAGGAAAAAAAGTCTCTGAAGAAAAACAAACTTCATTCTAAGGGTACCTGTATCCATTAGGAAAAAAATATAGAGTAAATTAAACCTTCTATATTAAAGAAGGTTCAAATCCATTCACCCAGACAAATCCAACCACTGCTCATTTAGGACTACAACTACCAGAGGCAGTGGCAGAAAAAACACCCAGCAAGATTTGCAAAGTCACGATCCAGGGAAAGATCACAGCAGTTTTCATTGCTGAAAGCTAGTGGGGCACAGGAAGGAAGGGAGGCACGAGACATTCTTAGAAGTCTCAGAAACACTGTTCTTGTTTCTACTGTTTCTTGAGAGTGTTTAGAAGAGGTCAGCAGAGTCTCACTATTCAAGCCTGAACACTTTGCTGTGTGGCTCTAATGCTTTCTGTAAAAACAGGGAGGGGGGAAAAGCCCAATCCCTTTCCAACATCAGTGCAGTAGCCACACACACAGTAGCACTTCAGCCAGAAAAGTAGTCCTGGAAGCCTCCATTAATCCAGGAGGGACATATTTGTCAGACAGATCACACAAAGATTAACAGCAGCTACACTTGCTCTCAAAAGGATTTTAACTGCACATCATCTACATTCAGTAAAAAGTTAAAGCAGAGTTAAAAGTTTATGCAAATCTCTCCTTTCCCTGATTAAAAAGCTTCTGTTTCAACAGAAAGCCACGTTTGCTCATGTAGAACGAGTTGAAAGAGGTTCAGCTTCCCCTGTGTTTGTGTGAACACAAGCAGCAGAGACCAAGGCTAAGGAGAGACCTGCAGAGCCCACTGCTGGCATCTGGAGTCTCAGCTGAGCAAACCTCCCAGCGCTCAGGTCCTGTCAGAACCTCCCATCAGAGCTGGTGGCTGTGCCAGGCTTTCAAATGCCAAAGAGACAAGTGATAAGTGTGACAAAACCAGTTCCTGACACTCAAAGTGTCTTGGAAATGAGTTTCTGAAGCTGTTAGGTTTCCAAGGTGTAACGTGCTGGTCCTTGTTGTTCAAGAACAAAGCGAAGATGAACAATTGATCCCTGTTTCTCATGCTGAAGTCTTGAGAGTTTGTTGCTTTGTTTTGGGTTTTTCTTCCTGTTTTTTTTTTTTAACTCTAATATCTTCAAGATTAGGACTTTATGAAAGCCCTGTGCTTTCCCACTGAGCACCTTAACTCTGTAAGCTTCAAGAGCAAATATTAAGAGTTGAAGTGATTAAGGTGAACTTATTTATGCTTCTTTATGCAGCTGCCAAGGAAACTTGTGTCATGCAAGACTTCTTCCTGCTGTGTTACTACATACACCATCTCAAATTTACGCACAGGCCCTGGCACAACAACAATACACCACCTAAAATTACATTTGGCGGCTGAAATACTGACAGGCTGCAGGGTTATTCATAGACCAAAAGATTCTTTAACACCTCCTATACACAAATACCAAAATCTTCAGGAGGTGTAACTGTATAGAAGGGTCAACTAAAAGAAACTCTAAGTTTGTT